CATTCCGGGAATGCGTACATCTCAGAAGTTAATGAGTGCTTCCGTTCCAACGATATCACTCCTAAGAGGTTTTATGTCGACACCTTCGCCAATGGTATCATCGTCTACACCTGCTTCTTTGATCCTTGTGCTCAGAAGAAACTCGAGCAGCTTGCTCAAACTCTTCGTTATGTTTGCCATTTCAAGCACACTCCGAGGAAGTCCGCATTGGTTTGGGATCTTGTATTGGAGAATAAGATAACTCCCGAGCATGCTATCTTCCTCATTACTGCGGCCAAGTTCATCTTCTCCTTCTTCCCCAAGGAGACTCAGGAGTATCTTACTTTGGCTGAGTACTTCAAGAATGATCCTTCCAAGAAGAGCGAATTGGATACATTATTCCGGAACACTATGTCCAATGCTATCACTTACGAAAGGATCTATGCGGCTCTTACTTCCAACTATACTCTCACTCTTCCTATGTTCGACGACTTCAAGAAGGTTGCTGCTGGTGAATGCAAGCCCTTCTATAATGAGGAATTGGCCGCAAAGATTGATGACCAAGTTGGATCCCTTCTCGATGCGAAGATCTTGAAGACTCTCTTGAAGCTCAATGCTCATCTACAGATGACCAACTTCTTCAAGCCTACTGGAACAGCTTCTGCAATCGCAATGAGGTTCGACGGCGAGGTCTTGGCTGATCGTCCGAGGACCCTCTTCCCCACCATCCCTTATGCCGTCTACCTTGTCGTTGGCAAGAGCTTCTATGGTTTCCACATTCGATTCACTGAGATTGCTCGTGGTGGTATCAGACTTATTCTATCAAGGGACGGACGGGTGTACAAGAAGAACTGTGCTACTTTGTTGGAGGAGAACTACAACTTGGCCTTCACTCAGCAGTTGAAGAACAAGGATATCCCCGAGGGTGGATCGAAGGGTACCATTCTCATGGATGTAGACTCTCAGAATTTGAACACCAGTGGCCGCGAGGCTTTCAATAATTACGTCGATGCCCTTCTCGATTGCATCCTCTCCAAGGAGACCGGTATTTACTCCAATCTGTCCAAGCCTGAGATGCTATTCTTTGGCCCTGATGAGAACACTGCTGGATTCATGAAGTTGGGTGCTCTGAGAGCGAAGGCTCGTGGTTACACATATTGGAAGTCTTTGACTACCGGCAAGTCTGACGTTCTCGGTGGTATCCCTCATGATAAGTACGCCATGACTACCAACTCCATCCATCCTTACGTTACGGAGCTTCTGGAGAAGTTGGGTTTGGAGGAGTCTAAGCTTACTAAGGTCATGTCCGGTGGCCCCGATGGTGATCTTGGCTCTAACGAGAT